AACCCCATGGCAGCAATTAGGGCACGAAAGGCTCTTGCTGCAAAGACCATCACCTTCCCTCCATCATTCTCCACACACGGCCGCTGAGCCTGCACCAGGGAAGCAACAGCGAGGGTTGCTAGCAGGAATGGGAGCTTCAGTTCTGGACCAGCTAGCTGGGCTTTTAATAGGTCTGCGTTGAAGACAGATAGAGTGGATTTGGTTGGGCTTTTATCTGTGGAACAGATAGTGCATTAATAAAGAATAGGCATAATGTGTTATGTCCTTATCAGATTAAAACACCAGCAGAAGATCGTTTCCAAAGAGAGACCACCTCACAATATATTTGCAGACTGGAAGGTAAATATATTTGTACTGTGAGCCAAATGTTTTCTGGACTTCCTGGCATTAGCAATGCAGTTGTGCAGTGTTAGGAGCAATAGGGTAGGGAGGGAACAAATACTCTTACGCGATACAAAGGGGATAGAAGGAAAATATGCTTCCAAAATATTTCTTAGTATAATTCACAGGCCTTGCACGTGTTCCTCGATCAAATGGACAACATACACAATCCGTGTTCAACATGTAATATAAATTACATTACACAAGAAAGGCCTGAAGTGAGAGTTTGCATGCCCACATTTCACTGCAGAAGGTAAAAGACAGGATGGGAAGGAAGATAAACTGCTTAAGTTTATTTTTTACTTACCATCACTGAAAATAGCTTTGTGACAAAAGATTGTGAATACTGAAATGGGAAGTCTTTTTGGCCAAAGAAAATTGTGACCATTTTTGCTTTAAGGGATGCAAAATATCAGCAGAACAGCAGCAACCAACAAGTAAAATGGATAATTCTTCCCAAAGACATTTTCGTTCCTGGACTCACTGAATGCAGATGAATATTACTGACTATATTTCTTTTCTCTGATGCAGCAATTTAGTCATTGGAGAACTTACTATTTTTTCTGCCGTGCATCTTTTCAGTTTTTTTTTCCCCCTGTCACTTCTTGTCTTTATGGTGCATGACTATCACAAAAAAAATCAAGATGAATTAATGAATTTAAATATGGACCAAGTTGCTCTGAAAATGACCATATGTTCCCAAACATGCTTTAACTCCTTTTACAAGTTAAATATTCTAGAACTTTTGGCAACACCACTAATGTAAGCTGTAACACTGTTCAAAACAATGAGGGAAGGCAGGAAACAAATTGGATAATTTAAGATACACACAGGAGATGGAATGGCAACACAGTTCCAATATAATTGTTACTATAATTCACAGCACTTATTCTATTTTATTTTATTTACATATATTTATAGGCTGCCTATAATTGCCGAGGCCTTCTTTGTAAGATGATGTAACACTGGTCTTCTTGAAAAAGGAAGACATTCAGGGACTGTAGAAAAAAGTTAGGCTGGTCAAGCCACAAAGAGAAAATACCACCTTGCCGTATGAAGTCAAAAGTGTAATTTCACTCTTGTTGCAGGTCAGCTGGCAATCTAATGACATCAAGAAAAAACTCTACCCCGTTAAGAATATTTGCAGAATGCCCTGATTCTATTGCACGTCCTTTCAGCCAGAAATGATTGGAAATACAACACTGAGCTGTGCATTTTTATAGGTGATGCTAAAATGTGGTAAGAAGTGACTAAGAGAAACCATTTGGAAAACGCTTTTTGACAGCGTGTGATGAATTCCAAGCCACGGGGAAGATGTGCTCATTTTGTCAAGGGATGCTCAGTGTTGTCAGTTCCATACAGGTGAAGCAGAAGCATCTGGCTTGTCTAAAGAAGTATTTGAAATGTGTCAAGTGGCAGAGGGGGGACTGCGCAGACAGGAAAAATACGGCAATAGTTTGCTACAGTCCAGTGGAAGCCATGCAAGCAGATTTGGATTGCATGTGTCAGAAAACACTGAAGGGGAAGGTGTGTATACAAGTGCATGGAAATAGACTGTGAAGACTAACAAGTGTGGACTTTTTTCTTGATTGCTTTCTATGGCAATGAAATAAACACATTCCGGTTTTGTTGTTTGTGAAACATATAAGCAGCTAAACATAAAACAGTGCAACTATTTACTAGCAATGCTGTAAGAAATCTGCTAGAATGCTGTTTAGATCAATAATACATAAAATATAAAAGGGTTCAGATCCAGTTCACACAAAGCAACTGTTGTGGGTTTTTCCATATGGGTGGGAAGGAATGATGTGGAGAAATTTCTTGTGAACCAGGTGACTGCGGAGAGGCAACCAGACATTTTCTGAATTATAGTAGTGAAGGACAGGAAAGACAGTGGCTCTCTTGCAAAATGAATGGGCAGTCTCCATCCATAGGGCCAGTTCATGTGAAAAGGTTTCCTTGCTTGGTCACATAACTGAGCGTACAAATGTTTTGTAAAAATAGGCTCAGCTTATTTGGATGATCCATTCCACTAAAAACAGATTTTTGAAAACTGTTTTTACAAAACATTTTACAAAACACATTCCACCCCAGATTTTTGTTCCACTTCTTTTTGGGGGCCTTGATGAGAAATTCCTGTCCTTTGGATTCTGTACTAGAGTGCTAAAGTTGAACCGCAAACTCAACAGGCTTGTTTCCAACAAAAGTTAAAATTAAGCACAATTTTTCTGATTCAGGTCAAGAAGCAAGTTGTGGCTAGTCTGAAATGGAAGTGAAAGCATCTGAACTCTTCCTTATTTTTTTATTTTTATTTTTAAAAAAAACTTTTGTACACTGCTCCATTACCAAAGTTTTGGGGCAGTTTAACATGAGCGTACGAACAGCTCTGAGGAATAAGAAGTCAGAATATTATTTTTACAAAATAATATACTAGACAAAGCATTGCTTGCCACTCAACTGCAAGGCCTCCAAGCAGCATCTGAGCTGCTGTGACATCACAGACAAAAATTCTTACAACATTTTGTCAGCTGCAGAGAAAAACTCAGGTATTGCACTAGGAGCCCAGTATGGTAGGCTGTGCCAAGAGAAAATAATGGATCTGAGAGGCAGACAGGAGAAATGCTCACAAAAGAAGAAGTGGTTAGAGAGAGGCAAGGGGGCTGAATTTCATTTATTGATCCAAAATGACAAATCTTTGGCAGCTCATCTGCAGCAGCTATTAGAACAAAGCTGTAAATTCTCCATTATAACAACAATAGCCTTAAAGATTTTAATGCATATGCACCGCACATATACTGTACTCTACAACATAATGTACTGCTGAAACATTAACAGAACACTATCCAGCAAAGCTGCAGTAAGGAAAAGATAACTTTCTGCAAGCATTGCTGAGGTCAGTGCCTTCATTTCTTTGTGCAATTTCCAAATGACAGAAAATCAATGGTTTGACCTTGAGATCAACACCTTTAAAAAGAATTCACTGGAAACTGCTTCCTACCCCCATCCCCTTCAGGAAAGGAAATGTTTGCCAAGTATTCTGCTGGTGCTCCATCTTGGAGAAAAGAACACATTAAAAACACTTTGGATAAGACTCAGATATAGATTGTGAATGTATAAACTAAGTAGCTTTGTGCCAAAAGCCAAGATTGACTAAACTATCAAAGCTGAGAATAAATCAGGCTCTACCCGCTCTTTATTAGAATAGAAGGAAGCGACTACATAGCCCAGAGACAGAAAAGTGTTGCCAACTGCCTTTACTGCAAAAACGATTCCCGCAGCAGAATTTTTCATCAAGGTTTGCCATATGCAAGACTAAGTATGGACAAATCTATTTCAGTTTTTCCTTTTCCAACCTGCAGTTGGTTTTGTATCAGTCTGCAACATTATGTTTTTGGCAAATCTGCATGGCAATCCACACTTTTGCATAAAAATTTCTCCTAAAATACATACTTTTGTCCAATACATTGATTTGCTTGTAAATATTTTTGCAATAATATATTCATTACTCTAATATATATATATTTATTAGAAGAACCACATCACAAAACCTGGAGAAGTATGAACACTGAAAGACAACTTTGTTCTAGTTCATATGTGAGTTCCAGAGGTACAAATTTGGTATATTTATACCAAATGCAAACTCAAAGTTCTTCTTCATTCCTATTCAAGATCTGTAAAATGGGATAATTTGAACACTTATATTTATACATTGACATAGATATTTCATTGGTATTTGCATAATCACAAAATGGTTAATTTTGACTTCTCTATACATCAGGAGTACCAGCTACAGTGGTACCTTGGCTCATGAACTTAATCTGTTCCAGGACTCTAGTCGTGACCCAAAATGGTTGTGAGCCAAGTTAAATTTCCCCATAAGGTTCAATGCAAATAAGGTTAATCCATTCTGCAACTATTCTTTTTAATCACAAAAATTTGAAGCAAAGTGACAAAGAACAACAAAGATCGCGGCCACCCCCCCAGCACAACCACGATTGCGCCTGTCATCCCGGCATGCTGGGCAGGAAGAGAGTCGGCGCAATCGCAGGCGCGCTGGGGGAGGGAAAGACGGGCGTGAACATGGGCGCATGGGGCGGGGAGGCGGGCGCGATCGTGCTGGGGGGGGTGGCCAAGATCGCGGCTGCGCTCCTTCAGGAAAGACGGGTGTAATCACGGGCACGCTCCTGCAGGAAATACGGGCACGATTGCGACCATCTCCCCACTCGGGGGGGGCAGGGGGGAGATGGCTGCGATCATGGTTGCCACCCAATGCGACCTGAGTTAAATTTTTTATGAAATTTTTGTTCGCGACCCGATTTGGTCATGAACCAAAATATTCGTGAGCCGAGGTACCACTGTATTTATTTACAGTGAATCTGTATCTGTTACTTTTTTTATGCTAACATGAAAAAACAAAGGACACAGATATGGAACTAAACATCTAATTCAGAGTTATTAGTTATTGTGAAGCTTCTCAGTTCAATGTTAGTGAAACTGGAGTCTGTGAAAAAGTTTCATGAGAACCACTTCAGTTTTGGGTTACCATTCACAAAAGTGAATGTCTACATATGCTATGGAAAGCCATTCCACTGCAAGAAAATGCAGAAACTCTTGCTTACCTGCTGTCTCCAGCATTTGCCACATAGAGCTTTCCTAGCAGATACACCACAATAAGGGATGTACAACCCCCAGAAATATTGTACACAGTCCTTTCTCGCTCTATCTGCAAATCCTGAGAAGGAAAAAAAAACCACAATTTAGAAAACTGATTCACACCTCTTATTTCGATAGAGAAAAACGCTCTATAAAACATACTTGTATTGAAAACTGGATAGCATTGGATTCCCACTTTCAGCTGCCTCGGGAGGATAAGGGAAATGAAGTTAGATAAGTATTTGATACTTGGTAGAAAAGAAAATTGGTTAGGGAAGGTAGCAAAAGGCTAACAGGGAAAAGACAGACAAGCAGAGAAAATACAGCTAAACAAGAAACTTTCTGACAGAACAGATAAAAAAGCAGGTTTACAGGAGTTGCAGGATCAGATGGTCAAGTGGATTTCACTGATTTAGACTGTAGGTAGGGGATGGCACAGTAAAAAACAAGTACTTCCAGAAGATACAATCTAGCCCATCAGGAACAAGCACTACAGTGTCAGCCCACTCCTTCCTGTAATACTTTTCTCCTTGCAGGGAGGGTTTAAAAACAGCCACAGGGGAGTATTGAAAACTATGTTTTCCCCCATCTGCAAATTAAAATCCATTTTACTATCTCAATTACTGTGCATGTGTAGACCAGAACAGTGTTTTACGCAAGTAAGAGATCATAACAGAAATGCTAGAAATGAAAACAATCTGATTTTAAGAGGCTAATTTAGGAGAAGCACATGATTAGGTAATAACAGCAACAGCAACAAAAACAATCTTCAGCAGGACTTCTAGGAGAATAATCTTACATACACCTGGGAGACATAAACGAAATTTTTGTGACTACAGAATCATTTCAAACATTTTCTTTGTATTTACCCATTAGTCAAAGCCACTCCTTTAGCTCTCTGTCATCCCCCCATCCCGCCACTCTGTGACACTGCACAGATCCAGATCTGGTCTGCACATGTGGCAGGAAGAGATGGTAGAGTGGACCGTACCATTTCACAAGGCAGATGGGAAATCACATCATTTCTAATGCTCCCTGCACACCACGCCCAACCCTGACAAGGAGAATAAAAGCACCCCAGGCTGAGCTAGCCGCTCTCACAGATGCACGCTTGTTTTGATTTTTTTCCTAGCAGTCTGAAATGATTCCACCTCAAGAGTTTTGCACATCATTCTGCTAAATGCTTGGTCAGAACCCTATTCAGAAGTTCCCCACATACAAGTAAATTCATGTGACAGGCAAAGCAAGAAGCAATCCATGGGATCCATCTCCACCGGTCCTGTCCTGGAGGCCACCACCATGGACCATCATGTGTTGGTGGATAGATGCTTCCAGCAGGAGAACAGCTGTACTTCTATAGTGGCTGAAAGGGTAGGAAATAAGGATGCGATGGGCTTCTTATTTCCATCATCACATGATTGTAACTGCATGGTAGCAAGCTGAACAAGGCTCAGCTACTTCCAGGGCCTACAGAGGTCCCCCTCTAGCACGGTGAGCATGTACAAATTTGTCCAGCATACAGTGCAGAAAGGTGCAGTTTCAGTCTTTTTGTTGGTGGCGTTATATTTGCTTTTACTTCATTTAAAAGGCATCTCTTTTGGCTAGACTAGAAGGAGAAGAATGCAAACAGATTAAGCTGAAGAGTGGCCACAACACTAGAGAACAGCTGGAAGAACTGAATGCAAAGCAGACAGTGCTGTGCCAATCGGGATACAGTTATTTTTCACAGCAAGAGAAGCACACTGGAAGTCTTTTTCAAGCCCCAAGAAATAAATCAATTTCAGTTTTGTGTAATCTGAAAAGAATTTTCACCAAGTGAACTGAACCAGGCCATTCATCGCCATGATGTGACCACATCCTAGAACATTCACAAGAGTCGGCCAAAATGCGTAGGTGTGCATGTCTAAGCAATTGGGAATAAACAGCACAGTTTTCCACACATTTAATAACAATTGCTATTAGCACTGGCCATTTTAGATAATTAATTCTAATGCTTATTTTTACAGAAGAACCTCTTATGCCACAGCTGTAATTTTCCCATAGGAGCAACTAAATTTATTAGAGGCAAAGTACTATATGAAACACTAGCCATTACTCCTGGAGTTAGCCACAGAATGTATATGGATCCCCATGTTTTGGAGTAATCTCATATGGATTCAATAGCACTTGGCGGTACTCCCCAAATGGTTTGGGCTAGCTACGGATTGCAATATGAATCCCCTTTGTCAGAAATGAGGTTTGACACAGAGGACTCCATCTCATTAGCTCTGCCAAGGATCAGTGATGTTTTGTGGCAGCCATAGCTGAAACAAGCGTTGGCTGCCCAAGGGGGCCATCTTCTGGCCCATGTGCAAATTTCACCATGTCTTCTCTTGCATTTGATGACTCAGTGAGGAAATAAAAAAAGCCAAAGCCCTCAAAGCTAACAGAAATCATACTACAAATGCAAACACAAAATGTTTCCATTTTCTCCATTAAGTGCTTTTGGTTCCTGTTGTTAAATGTGCCTTTGAAACACACAAGTTACATGAGTTGTGCATTAATTACTAGCTCAAATTATTGTTGGCATTCTGGATAATGGGCGGGGTAGAAATTAATTAATTAAGCAAGCGCAATCTACAAGAAAGGAAACCATGCCAAGCGTGAAGTTCAGAGGGGCAAGACTCTTCACCAGGGGGAACGTGTGGCCCCCTGCAATCCTCCCCTGGCTTTAGCCAGCATAGCATATGGTGAGAGCTGATGGGGAGTTGTGGGCCAGCAAAGTCCCAAAGGCCACATGTTTCCCATCCCTACTGTACCCACAGAACTCTCCGCACCAAGCCTTATCCTAATAAACAGCATTCCACGAATTTGGTGCAAACCTTTCTAGCTGTATGCATTTTTAGTTCTAAACTCAATACAAATTCTCCAGGTTTAATAAGATTGAAAGCTATCTGTGAATATGGACTGCTGTACTCAAATATAAGAATGATTAAAGTGAAGGTGATAATGGAGTGCAGGTTACTTCTCAAAATATATGGAAGGTACAATCCTGTGCTGGCAGGGAAGTGCTGGGAGACGTTGGCCTTTTTTTCTCCCTACCTAAACAGGCACCAGATTGCACCCAAAGAAATTCTGCATATTTTACTGGAACTGCATGCTTTTTTTTGAGAGCATTTTATTTATGTTTATTACATTTCACTCAACAGACAAAGCTAGAATGTGAGTGAGGTTTAGTCGTGGAAGGTCAGAGTAGAGGAACACAACATGGTGTGGAACTAGTATGTGCATGTGAGTGGTAACAAGTAGTTCAGAAGGTCAACTGGAGTTTCTTCTGAGCCCTAACTAATTCTAGGTGGAGTTGGAAGGCCGGGTTGCCTGTGGTTCTCATCCAAAAGGGGAAACATGCACATTAGCCATATGTATGAACCAGATTTCCAAAGTGCATCTCACTAGTTGGATTGGCTCAAATGCCTGCAACGCAACCTCACAGAACATGCTTTCTGACCCGCCACCCTCAAGGCAGTTCCCAACCCGGAAAAATCAATCCTGGGAATTAGAACCCTCAAAAATGGCACATGCAGCAATAATGTGGAGGAAAACAATGCAAACGGTGGGTGTGATGATGAAATCATGTGCTTTGTCACTCAAGCAGGCCACCTTTGGATCCAACGTATGTACTCACATGTGCCAGAAAGGCTAGTAGAGTAATAACAACAGATTCTCAAGATTCATGGAAACACTGGTTAAAGTCCTACCTGCATATATGTAAAGAAATGAACTGATTATGACCCCATGTGGTTATTCTGTATTGTTGTGTTTTGGAAAAGAAACAATGAAATGTTATAAGACAAAAACTAAAGTAAAAAATTGCATCCATTATCAGGCCCTGCTTTGCAAAATGCTGCATGCATGCATACATGAAAATCTCTTATATCCACAGAAATAGGTTTCCAAGATGTTATCGGGCATTACGTTACTCTTGTAATATTCACTTGATGAAAGCAAAGGAAAAGATCATAATTATCTCCGTCACCTATTATTTATTTGGTAGTATTCTGGAATTATTTTTATGCTCACCAGCATAAGTGCTTAAAAAACATTCAGTAGCATCTGGCCAATTAATACTTTTCTCCCCAATTATCATTGTGTCTTTAACGAAGTCTCACTGCACTTTAACTTTCAATGATTAGGTCTAAAGGTTCTGCAGCACTGTCAAATATTAGAAAATACAGAGGATGTAGATTAATTGCAAATTAATTTATATAATTATTGAGAACCTTTCAGTGAAGAGCCACTGAATGCCAGAGAGCTAGAATCCAAAAAGGAAGAATTATTCTGCTAAGGGGATAGAGACAAAAGCCCATTATTTACCCTAAGATATGTACTAATGTATGGTCAATATTTCTCCTGTAAGTGTTACCAGGTGGAGCAGTTCTGAAAGTTCCACCATTTAGTTTTCCTGCAGAGATTCAAGGGGTGGGAGCAAAATGCCTATACATCTTCAGGGGAAGGAGAGAAATTGTGACTTGTTCAGAAGGATAAAGAGCTCTATCTGAAAAGCAGCAGGAACAGCTTTTAAACCAACACTTTTTTTTTTACCACAGTGCCTTGTATATTTTCCCCCACGATGCACCCAGAAGCACACCATATCATGGCATAGCGCCTTTCAGAGAGTCACTTTGGAGAAAATACCATTTTCAGTCTGAGTACAGGGAGCAACACTACAAAAGCAAAAAAAGTTTTTTAAATGAGAGAATTGCTGTTGCCTATCCAACAGTTCTATAGGTTTTTTTCTTCCTGACCACTCCAAAAACTGTGGCCTATGAATTTGCCTACAAAAATGGAAGAACATTTCCACCACAGCAACAGTTTAGTCTTCATGTTTCCTCTGCCACTATATAACTGAATTAATGAGGACCCACATCGTTCCCCTTTTTTCCAAAGTTCACTGGCAACAAGTTTGGTATGTTTAGTTGTCTCAGGGTTTTGCCCAGAAGAATGGGGGGAAATGCTGTATAACTGAGGGTCCAGTCACAACTTCGTGGGCAACAGTAGCTAGCCATTTGCCCTTCATAACTGCATGGAAAATAAAGGCCACTCCAAACTAGTGTTCTGCAACTTTAGGATTTCTTGTCTTTGACATGACAGGTAAAGAGGCATTCTGTGTGTCCGAACTGCTCACATGAGGGGCATGCAATCTGCTGCAGTCTTTTGCTACCAGTTTTGGTCCTTGTTTTTTGTAATAATATCTTGACACTAGCATTGCAATGCCAAGCATTTCTTCCAATTACCTTTCAAAAAGCCAAGCATCTTAAATGTGCTGATGTCAGCACACCAATTCCTTTTCCCTCAGCCTACCCACAAACAAGGATTGGGACTTTACCAAAGAGTCACAAGGAACAGTAGAATCTACTTACCATTTCCCTGAATGCTAACTCAATAGCCCCGATAACAAGGCACTCGTGGGAGATCTTCTTCTCCGTAAAGAAGCGTGTTGGTGGGGTGCTGGGTGAGCCTGGTGCGCCGGAGCTCCCGCGTAATGAGGCGGCCCTGGTTAGAGTTCTGCTGTTGGCATTCGTGCTTTCGGGCTCTTCCCCCAGGCAGGTTGGGGGAGGGAGAGCAGAGTTTTTCAGGATGTCCACAATCTCCTGCAGCTGCTCCGCGATATGATGCTGAAGCAGGCGGGATGCCACCACAGCTGCTCCAGAGCCAGCATGCCCATCAAATAATGACCAGTAATGGAAAGAGATGCCATCGGATTCCTAAGAAAGGAAGCATAAAGAGCCCAAGTAAGTTGCAAGGGCGGGGGAGGGATTCCTGTCTTTAAAAGAGCAGAGGTACATGTTTCCCAGGTTTACTGCCCAAGGGTCAAAGAAGATTGACTTAAATCTGCATCTCAGCTACATTCCTGCTCCAGCTTTTTACTCTAGATTAGGCACAGGGTATTTGACCCAATCATGACTCCAACATATGGAGGCAGAGGGGATCTTTTAAGATCTGGAGCAGCCCCGGCATCAACTCTAGAGGGAAAATAAGAGGTGCAGGACCAAGTAGAAGGAGGAAGAGACAAAGACCAAATGGCTATATATGGATGGAAAGTCTGTTTTAACTCTGAAATGTCTTTACAGGGAGGGAAAAATTACAGGCCAGATCCAGATTTATTCATACTTGAAGCAGTCTCGTTGATATCAATTAGACAAGTCAGCCGCAACTAAGTCACTCATGGCTGATTTGTGCCATTGGTTTTAATGAGTCTTTTCTAAGTATGACAAAGCCTGGATCCAACCCTATGATATAATTCCCTTCCCCTCCCCAGTAGGAAGCATGCACAAAATCAATTTTTATATACTCCGGATCAATTCATTTCAGGAAAATCTCATCTCCTGGTTCCAGTCTCCTATCACGACTCTGCCTATAAGAACATTGTAAGCTGAGAAGAAATGCTATTCTTAGGTTCCGCTAAGACTATTAATGCACCATAATAATGGACTGTTAGTGGAACAACACAATCCAGGAAATTGTTCAGAGTCACTGATGGCTGCCAGGCCAGCTTGACTGAGGAAAAATCACAAATTCAGAGAACAATCCTATGCAAGGAGCAGTTCAGCAACTTGCTTTTTTGTGATAGCACTACATTTGTGGAACCCTTTCCACAGCTGGTGCCAACATGGTTATAGTTTCTCTCCCAGGCAAAGGGATGCTTAACTTTGCAGGCATCCCTTGCTTACATTCCAGATGTTGGCACTGATTTAGGGTTGTTCATTCTAGGCTGTGTGAGAGGGCAGAGCGGATGGTGTGTATTGTAGGTAGACACCTTTTGCATTGTTTTTAGATTAGGGTGTTTTGCTTGCTTGCTTATTTGTATTATTGTCCTGGTTATGGTTTATATTGGTTTTAAAGGTTTTTCTTTATTTCAATGACAGATCTCTGTATTTTTGTGTGACTTTGTACGCCTGATTTTGCAGAGGGAAGTGACACATAAATTTAAGAGATCATTAGTGAGCCAACGATTTAAAGAGGTGTACCTGGGGCCTACCCTGTATTTTTTTCAGAACCACATGAAAAGCTTTTTTATTTTCCCACTATTTTAACAATTAACTTTTTGACTTTAGTTTTAATATTGCATTTTTCCTATACTGCTGCTATACCTCTGTGCTGATTCAGTTGCAATTGCTATAGTTTTATTGACTGGTATTCATTTATTTTCCTCTTTCTTGTGTGTTTTTAACTTTTGTTAACTACCCAGAGAGCCTCAGCTATTGGGTGCTATAAAAATGAAATGACACAAATAAATAAATGGCGAGAAATTTCATTACATACCAACACAACATGAGTAACTATCTTGTCCACAGTGTAGCAATAAGCAACTTGGACAATCTCCTTAGCAATGTAATCCCCTCAGTTTTTAGTGTTGAACTGACATTTCTCCACCCACCCTGCACACCCTTTCAAACACTTCCGAGCCCCCTGCTGTCTTAGCATTAACTGCTCCATTGGCATTTCAAAAAAACAAAATCCTACTGTTGCTTTTATCTATATCCTGCCCCTTTTCCTTTAAAGGAACTCAAGTGGCTTACATAATTTTCTTCTTCCTCCCAATCTTGTCCTCCCAACAACAACCCTGTGAGGTAGGCTAGGCTGAGAGTCTGTGACTGGCCCAAAGTTACCCAGTAAGCTTCATGGCTGAATGGGCACTAGAATCCAGATCTCCTAAGTCCCAGTCTCACACTCTTAACCACTACACCACGCTGGCTCCCTCTTTTGCCTGAGAGCAACTGACACCTGCCAGGGACAAATTTCCTAATTTCTTTCCCAGTTCTATCGATGTCCTAGTCTGCTATCTTTCTCCATTTCCAGCCTTCCCTGCCTTCCAGCTTGACACTAGCCTTCTACCTTCATGTAGCCCAGCAGGAAGGCTGCAGGCCCACCTCTCTCCAGATAGTTGGGTGCCATTCTGATCCACTGCTGCAAAGGTGCTGAGGAACTGTGGAACATACTTGTGGCCCTGTGAGGCCAAGAACTCACTTGGCCTTGTGTGCAGGATGGAAACGGCAGGGAGGCTGACAGCCAGCACCCCACTTCCCCTCACATCCATCTTCAGGAGGATCACGTGAGGCTTTCAGGGAGTTGCCAAAGGAGCAATGCATAAACAAAGTCTGGTTTTCTAATGCTACAGACATGTTGGACAGGAGCCTTCCAGCAAGGTTACCATTCTTCCCAGAATTGCACAGTGGCAGAAGGAAGACCAAGCTTGGTTGGCAGGTACTGCATACATGAGAATTGTGAGAAGTACCAGGATCTGTTCCTACCCATAGCATCCCTATATGTATTATACCTATATCCCTAGCTATCCACACAGGCTCACATAATTCTTCTTCCTCTGTGGCCCCAGCTCTCTATCATTAAATGTATCTCACTCATTAGTCATTCAATTGATTTACAATTAAGTTACATCTTCTGTGATTTGCCAATATTTGACACTACTGCTAAACCTTTAGACTTAATTATTGAGAGTTATTTCAAGTGCAGTGTTAAAGAGACAACAATAACTGGGGGCAAAAGCATTAATTGGGCAGATGCTATGAAATGCTGCTAACGCAGTTTTTTAAATATCCAGAATGATGGCCCAAACAGTTGTTATTTGCCCCTGTACATTTGTATGAGATAGACATTTAGCAAAAAAAATTAGCAAAAATTTATTTAGCAAAAAATTTTAAATAAATTTTTAAAATAAAAATAAAAAATTTATTTAGCAAAAAAATTTAGCAAAAAAAATGTACATGGACAGGAACAAGTATGGACTTACTGAATTCTCCTTCAGCTGCAATCCTTCCCCATTTGGCAAGGAAGACCTCCGTTTGGTAGAGGAGTTTTTGTTTGGTGTAGAATTAGTTCCACCTGCTTTCTTCTTTACAGTGAGCACTTCACAGCTGGCCTGGTCTTCATTGTGTGTACTTTTCCCTGCATTGATCACCCTAGTGAGAAAAGAGTCAAAAAGGTAATCTTGCAGATCATGTGTATTTATTTCAGGGATTTAAACACCACCCTTCAATGAAATGCTTGAGACCATCTACAGAATGTGGACGCAAAGTTAACAACAAATCAATGGAAAAACACACCATTTCCTAAGCGAAAGATAATATTTGAGAAAATGTTCAAACTCCTATTTAAACATTCCTGATGGGGATGGCAAGAAGTGTGAGGAGATGTCGATGTGCTACTTGTCTTTCGGAAGACACACAACCAGAAATTCATCAGGTACTGAGAGGAGCACAGAGAAAGGGAAAGTAAGTGGGAGCAGGTCACACCTACTTAGACCATCAGACTGCAGAAGGACTACTGGGGGGCAACGCAGCCTCCTAACCCCCCCCCCCCGCAAATGTGCTGGGCATCCTGCTCTGCATGTTGAGAAACAGAAAGGGACAGGAAATTGGATAACCAGAAAGCAGGATAAGCAGTGAACTATCACGCACCTATAGTTCTACCAGCCTTCCCAACCTGAAGCCCTTCAGATGTTTTGGATGTCAACCCCCAGCATTCCTGATTGCTGGTCATTCCACCTGCTGCTGTTGGAAGCTGACATTCAAAACATCTGGAGAGCATCAGGCTGGGGAAGGCTGAGTTACAGGAAGGCAAGCATTGTTAGAGCTGGGAGGAGACGGGCAAATTCATAAGAGGGACCTAAGAAACGTGCCCCTGGCTGCAAAACAAAGGACAGTGCCTTTGAGGAGTCAGGGAGAATAAGAGAATTTTATATCTTGAAGGAGGTGATTTACATGGGATGGCAGGCTTATAGGTGGGATGAGAAGTGTAAGACACATAGCTATTTCTTAAACCATTATATTAGAAATAAATTGATGTCGGTCTGTGAAAAGTTAAAGACAAAGCTCTATACTAAGTTGCCAAACTGGCTTTCTCCTATGGAAGCTCTTACATATCCAAATACACTGAACTTTAATATGATTGTGAGATATGATGATATTTTAGATAAGGATGGAAAATTGAAACCGAATCGAGAACTACAGGAACAGGGTGCTGATCTTTCTTGGTGGCATAAGGTACAAATACAATGAGATATATTAAAGACTATAGAATGTATGGTTTTTATAAGGAACTAACATTTGATCAAATGATTTTAAAATCAGATGAAAAAATGATTAAAAGATTGTATAATTTTGGACATGAAAATTATATGAACAAGTTAAGGAACCATGATAACATGGTCACAAAATCTTGGATATAATATTGAGTTACAGAACTGGCAAAAGCTGTGGAAAAGAAATATTAAGATAACCTTAGCAACTTCGTATAAAGAAAACTTTTATAAAATGTTTTATAGATGGTATTTATTGCTGAATAGATTAGCAAAAATGTTCCTAAATATGTCAAATAGATGTTGGAAATGTAAACACAAACCTGGTACTTGTTATCATATGTTTTGGACTTGTGTTAAGGCAAAAAATTACTGGGTTAAAATACATAAATGGCTGGAGGAAATGTTACAAAAACCTTTAATATTTAAACCTGAAGTTTTTTTATTAGGCATTATTCCTGATGACTTTGATAAACAAAGTATATATTTGATCTTACACTTAATTACCGCAACAAGGATTGCATCTGCCCAACACTGGAAGAATGAAGAGCCACCTACCAAAGAGCTGATTTTAAAAAAGATTATGGATTGCACAGAAATGGACAGATTGACTTTGTCTTTGAAGGAGAAGGAGGATACATACATATATCAAATTTGGAACTCTTTTTATTATTGGCTAGAGAAACGGGACTATATGTAGAACTGAATCTGGTTATTGATCGTAAAAAAGAGTAAGATGTTAACCCAGTACGTCCCATGTCTTGGGAATAATTGTTGTTTTAGTTTTAGATTTGTAGAGAAAATAATTTTTTTTAAAGGAGTAAGCAAGATGGCAGTCAGCAGCCCACATACATGAGCTCAGACAAGCTCTAGCCTGAGCAAAGGCTGCTAGGAAAAAGGGCAGCCTTTTATTTTTGTTTCAGCTTTACCTTCAGCTGCCTATCTGTTATGGAGCAGGATTAATGCACAATCCTGTTGCTATTTCTTAATGTATAGTAGATGAAGATACTTTATGTAGAAAAGCTGAGGTTAAACTTCATCTGTTCTGCCTAGCAGATACCAAAAGAAGGTCCCCAGAGTGGAATTAGGGTGTGTTAGACTGGGGACCTGGAAGATCCGGGTTCTAGTCCCCACTTGGCCATGGAGCTCACTGGGTGACTTTGGGACAGTCCAACTTACTTCAGAGAGTTATTGTTCTGGAGATAAAATGAAGTTAGGTAAGCTTCCTTGGGTTCCTCACACAAAGAAAAAAGGTAGGGTATAAATGCAATGTAATAATATTCATCTATTCATCTAATCTACGTATTTACATGTATTTCTGCCTCCTTAATCATCAGTTGTGATGGCAACAGCTACTGGATGCACATTCGTACTACAAGATTATTTATTATCCACCCACACCTTGTTGTCTAAAGAGGCACAATCCAGATACTTTTTTTTTTTAATGAAAATCAGTTCTTAGTTGGAAGGTACATCTTGTTGCCTGCACCTCCACTTTCATTCCTTGACAACTGCCACGGTTTTTGACATGTTCCTCAATATAGAAAAATGTCTGTGCCAACACCGTTGTAGCTCTATCTTGCAAAGCCAGTTTATGCTTTGTTTGTGCTGTTTTTAATCTAATTTCATCAATCAATCTCTCTCTCTCTCTCTCTCTCTCTCTCTCTCTCTCTCTCTCTCTCATGTTTAACTTTTTACCTACTGTTCATCACTCAGAGCACTCACTTATAGGGAGACTCAGATGCAATAATAAATACATTTTGGCAAATGTTTCTCCTTTGTAATATTTATATTTTATTTATTTATTTTTTCTTTATATTGAGATTTATATCCTGCCTTTTTCCTACAAAGGGCTCAAGGCAGCTTACATCATTCTCCTCCTCCATCTTATCCCCACAACAACAACCCTGTGAGGTAGGTTGGGCTGAGAGTCTGTGACTGGCCCAAAGTCACCCAGTTGGCTCCATGGCTGAGCGGGGACTAGAACCCAGATCCTCTGAGTCCCAGTCCCACACTCTTAACCACTACGCCACACTGGCTCTCCAATGATAGCATGTTTTGCCCACATTTAACCATAATAACATCACATATGGTGCCCACTGCTGCTGCTGCTGCTTAGCTGCTCAAACTAGACAAAGCAGCTGTAGTGACCATAAACTGACTAGGTTTGAAAGCTTGGCATCACATTCAAACAAGACCCTAGGCTTGCTGTCCCCAAACAAACCAGACTATAAACTATAAACAAACTATAAACCCTGATTTCACTTTCTGGTTTATGGCAAATGGCAAGCATAGACTTCTAGTTGGTATGGAACACTAAATTTTCCAATGCCTGTTCATTTATGGTTATCTAGGTGTTCCCACCAGCAGAGCTAAACACAACCTGTCAGGCAGAGTATAAAGGCACACTGCTCATGAACAGTGAGCTAGGATTCTCCGGAATTCTGATTATCGTTATGTGAAAGTGTGGTCGTAATATATGCAATGGCATTCATGATTTAGGGAAGCTTGCCAAGAGATTGCAGGCTGGCAAGGTAAAGCCTTTCAAATTTAAAGCATTTCCTGCACTCACCATTCTGTAACATCTGGTTGGTCCTAATAAAGGCATTAGCCTAATGGATACTTTAGAATGATGGAATTTATTTTTACCCCTTTATCTTCAAGACACAGAATTGTATTTTGTCAGTTCTAGATGTTTTCTCAAAAGGATGGATTTTTCTTAGCTATGCTGACGTATCACAGTCTTTAGATCAAGTCTCCACAAAGAGTGAGCTGTACAAAGTCCTCCAGTCAGGCACTGAATTCCAACACGGACTAAAAAACGTCTTGATTTGGCTACTTGTCTGTAAGGCAGACACAATAAACAGGTGGTGGTTGGCTTAGGGATGTGTGTACATATGTCAAAATTTGTGCAGGCCTGCCTTGGAGTATGAGGTTTTCACACAATACAGAAGGGGCAGGCAACTTTTCGGGCAGTGGGCACATGGCAATCTGAGAAACTATCCTGGGCACCAGCACAAAATGGCTGCCCTGGCAGGCATGAGAAAAGCTAGTAACCACCTAAGACACTGAGAGCAAAGCAGAGGTGGGGTTTGAACTTTAGGCTGCTTCAGAATCTATTGGACTCCACAGGTTTCAAGCTACCGCACCTACAGGTGAGTCAATGTGCTATCATTTTTTAAAGTTCGGCACCTTGCTGGGCATCAGAAAGGTGTCCTGTGGCACTCTGGTGCCCAGAGGAGAGCAGCATTGCCTTACCCTCCACTATGACTTCTGCAGTGATGCACATGCTGGCTCCTAACTCTGGGGAAGCTTGATTACTAGAAACAGAAGGCATGCGCAATAGCACAGGAAGCTACAACAGAGAGGGGAACAGAGCACTCATATACCATGGATCCTGCATCCAGCTCAGAAATTCACAGAAGCCGTGCCTGAGTGTGGCTAGCTGCCTGGAACAGGAAACCAAGAAGTCCCCTTTATTTTAGTAAATATATATCCCATACTGTCACCCAACTGTGCCCAAGGCAGCTAATAATCTAGAAGACAAAAGCTACCAAAGCAGTAACATTAAAAATCAAAGCTTAAAACAGTCAGATATTCAATAAGTTACAGGCAGGCAGAAAAGTAGGTAAAATATTAAGATGAACAACCATCCACCTTTTTAAAATGCCAGAAATAATTGCTTGTTTTAAAGCTGCCTCAAAGTCACCTGCCAAACAGATCTCTGCAGCACAGAATTCCCTAGCCTTAATGAAGTCCAGAAGAGGCTCCCCATCACATTCCTGCACACTTTATTTCCAAAATCTGTGGGAAATCTAAGAGACCTTCTCAACTGACCCTAAGAGATTGACAAGTTAATGCAGAATGAGACAAGTGAAGTCA